CGACGATGGGGTCCATGATGCTAATCAGGCGGAGGACGGGGGGGGATGTGAGGAGGGTGAAGAAAAGCGGGGACGAGGACGCAAATGGCGGGGCGGGGTGAGAATGAAGGTTCAGATGCTGAGGATTCGGATGGGCAGGATGGCGGCAGGAGAAGGAGGACGACGACTTCGTACGCGCAGGGTACAGGCAGGGAGCAGGAGGCGTTCTGGCATTGTGGTCAGGCCGTGCATGCGGGGGCCTGGCCAACGCGCGGCCATCCTGGAGGTCAGACTTCCGCCGTGGAGGTCTCGACCCATCCAGGACGTCGTGGAATCCATCGGGCAATATTCCAATGGCACATTCCCCTGACAACGCTTGCAGTCGGGAGCTTCGGATTTGCATACGGCAAGTTCGTGTCGTGTCGACCTGGGCGTTGGTTCCTGACACTGGGGGGATCGTTCAACCTTGAACGATCGGCCGCTTCCGCAACGTTTTATCGTTCAGCATCGACCAATTCTAGGGCGCCGCTGGCGTTCAACCTTGAACGCCTGCGGCGGGGTCGCCGCCAGTCGACACGACACGAACCTACCGTATCCAGAAAACTCGGTGGGCTCGCCGCGGCTGCGCCGCGCGGGTGCCTCGCGCCCGCCCGCGAGCGCCGCTGGGCGCCCGGTGTCCTGGGCGAGTTGCTGCCGAGATGTTTGGCCGCCGCGCGGGCGCAGCCTGCCCGCTCGCGCGCCCCCCTCCGCGCCCGCTCGCGGGCGCCTCGCGGCCGCCGCGGGCGCCCCGCGGCTGCCGCACGGCATCCGCCGCGCGCCCGGACCGCGTGGCACGCACAGCTTACACGGCATAGCTTTAGGGCGACGATATCTATGCATATCCACTGCTCCTGGCCAGGCCAATCCTGGGCCCAAGAGCTGTGTATACGCCCTTCTGGCTTGGCCAGGGAGGCATATACACCGCTCCTGGGCCCAGGATGGGCCTGGCGAGGAACAGTGGATATGCATAGATCTCGTCGCCCCAAGCTTGCGCCCGCAAGGCTCGCGCAAGATAGCTTGCACCACGTAGCTGGCACGGCATAGGCTGCACCGCGTAGCTTACACGACGCCGCTCACGCTCCACTACCTGCACGGTGCAATCATTCACTGGTTGGGGCCCTCGCTGGCCTACGTTGCAGCCGCTCTGCCCCAGGCCCGTGGGGCGAATCCCGCCGCGAACACCATGAGCACAACGGTTGCGGCTGTTGCTCCTGGGCCTCCTCCCCCTCGCGCCCCAGCGTGGGCGCGCGAGGTTGAACGCGCCCACGGCTTCTTTCCGGGCCCCAGGACTCACGGAAACCGCCCCACGGTCCGAAATCATGATTCCAATACAGCCTCCAAGTGCGCAAATCGCTCAAGAGTGAACGATCCACGTGACGTCAGAAAGCAGTTCCCATGTCGTCGCGGCTACGGTCGTCTTTGTCGTAGTCGTCGCCATCGCCCTCATGTCAGCGGCGGGCTTGAGTGGCGTCCTGGCTGTCAGCAAGCTGTTGTTCCATACTTCGTTTCCATGCCTCGTAACCACGACGGCAAAACGTCAGGAGGACGAGGAGGGGGAGGAGGACCGACGACCCCGAGAAGCGCAACGAGGAATGGCCTGGGCGGCGCCATAAATATGACCCCCCCACGAGACACACAACGCAAACAACGCACAACACACACACACACAAAACACACACGCAATGCACGACGCACAACGCACAACACACAGAACACACACACACACAACGCGCGCAACACACAACACACAACACACAACACCACGCACAACATACCCAACACAACGCATTGCACACAAAACACAACGCACACAACCAACCAAACAAACAACACACAAAACACACCACACGCAACACACACAACACACAAGACACACAACGCGCGCAACACACACACACACACAACACAAACACCACACAACACTCATACACACAAAACACGGCACACACACAGCACACACATACAACACACACAACGCACACAATACGAACAACACACACCACACAATACGCACAACGCACACAACGTACACACTACACACAAAACGCACGACACACATACACAACCCACACAACACAACACACGCGCAACACACAACACACAACACACCACACGCAACACACCCAACACATTACACCACACACAATACAAAAGACAACACACAACACACAACACACCTGACACAACACACCACGCACAACACACCAAGGGCTAGCAGGGCTTCGCCCTGTTGAGCAGAGCGTAGCAGAGCTTAGCGGAGCGACCGGGGGCTTCACAGGGTTGCGCAAGGCTCAGCAAAGCTTAGCAATAGCCCCCCCGCATTTGTGGCCGGTACTTTGGCTGGGCCCTCAGTATCAGTGTATAAAAACCTCATTCGGGATTTGTGTATTTCACACTTCGCCTAGGGCCGTTTTCTGTGGCTTCCCATTGGGTTCCCATATGCGTTCACGGAATTCATAGGATTCCTATTGAACTTCGCTAAGACGGCATCCGATTGGATTCCTATTTGATCTCCATTG